AGCTCAAAATTACGGCAAGAATTTTCCAGTGGGGTCTCGGGTGGTTTACTGAAAAGTTTGGTAGTCATTAGCCTCATTTTAGTCCTTTGGTTTGACTTTGTTTGAACTAGTGCTTGAAATAATGTTAGAAAAAGTTGCAAAAAATATTATAGTGGTGAGTAGTGCTGTATTTTACATATTGCCTTTTACATTACACAACCACATGACTTTTTCTTTAAATCAGAAATGTCTTTCAAAAATGGTTTGTGATTAAAAGTAAGCATTCACATATAGTTCTTCTGACTCTCCTGACCTTATTAACAAGTTTAAAATGAATTCTGTTTTCCACAACTTAAAGATGAAAAAATCTGGCACAGAATCTTAAAAGTACAAGACCGCAAACCAGATCTAAACATGTTTTGTAAGTCCACAAGTAACTATACAACAGAACCATCTACATAAGCATAACAAGTTTTTTTTCTTTTCTTATTACATAAATCTGTTCCAGTATCTTGAAATATTGTGAGTGAGTGCTACATATTCATTAATCTTGAATGGTTCATTGAAATTTTGTATTTATTCAATTAATGGTATTAATTCCTAAAAAATAAAGCATGTATTCTGTGAGTGGGGTCACCTCACCACAGATCTGACTGGTAACTTGGCCTGGTGGCTTCCCTTGTTTGTCTCCATGGAGATAGATGCCATACTTTCGAACATTCCAGGAAAAATAATAACATTTTTATGAAGATGAGCATGTGATGGACCCTCTATTAGAAATATTCCTTAGTGCATCTTTAAGTTACAGTGTAAATTACTGCTAAACTAAGTCCACATTTCTGTTTACAGACGGACATAGTGAGCAAACTGCTGAGCATTCTCTGTGAAGACACTGAAGGCTTCTCTAGAAGAGCTGTGGTTCAATTCTTCATCTCCTGGTTCTCGTCTTCCTCCTCCTCCTCTCCCGCTCTCCTGATGTCCTCAATTCCCTCCATCCTTTTTCGGGGCAGCTCCGACCTGGACTGGGAGGTCAAAGTTCACACACTGGAGCTGACCAAACTGCTAATAGATTCCACGCTGGCAGGTCACCACACACAACCTTCGCACCCTTACGCCGCGATTCCTCAACCAATGTATAACTTTTCCTCTCAAAATTCCAGAACAAATGTAGAAGATTTGTTAAGTAAATTAGTTGAACAAGGGGTCATTTCTACACTTTTAAGCGGACTGTACGACTGCGATAGACCGGTGGGACTAAAAGCTTGCCAGTTACTTATAAATCTTCATGAAACGTTGAAAAAATCAGAATGCACAGTTAAATGCAGTCTTCCAATTTGGGGTTGGGGGCAGGAGATTAGAACGCTAATGGGGGATTTGAAGGATACAGAAATGGTAAACGTACAGGAAGTGCTGAGATGTTTAAATTTGGAGCAGAAGTTAAGTGTTCTGAGCCAAAGCAGTGATCATGTCCAGAATTCTCCTTTGTCTTTACTGCAGGACATTCTGACAGCACGGGACATCCACTCACACCAGGGTACAGCAGAGGGACAGGAGGTCATAGTGGACTGTTACTAAGGATTTACTAACAGGATTTGATATGGACTATATATGTTGAATAGTAAAATATAACATGGGGATTTCTACTGTATTGCTGCATGTGCCAAGATGTATTTGTGTATGAGATCTATTTTGGATAATGGTGTTTTAAATAAATGTGAATTATGGTACGGTTATGGTGTGGTTTGTGTAGCATTAAAATAAGAAGAAGAAGAAGAATAAATAAGTACATAAGAAGGTAGAGGGGAATAGAGGCAAATACTTTTTTTTTTTTTTTTTTTTTAAATAATAATAATTACATGGTTAATTACATGCCTATCACTATTGTAAATGTATAATTCTGAAGCTCTTTTTGCACTAATAAATGGACAGTGGTTTATGTTTCATAGGCATCTAACTGTACCCAAAGGCTCACACTCTTTTTTATAAACAGCTCAATATTTTGCTGCTTCTAAAGTGAGTAGCTCTCTGGCATTTTTGTTTTGTAAAGGTAGCTCACTGGAGGAAAAAGGTAGGAGAACCCTGCACTAGTATATATTTTTAAATGACATGGATTTTTGACCATCATTTAGTTCCATGTTAAAGGTTAAAAAAATCATCAGATTTTGGTGTGCATGTAACCACAGACAGTGATCATCTTGAGTCTTTTTAATGGAGATGTCTACAGCCAATCCTCTTGTCAGTAAAAGCGTGTAATTTGGGACAGACTCAAATCTTTTGAGAAACAAATATTCCTTACAGATTGGATAAGTAAGCATTACATGACGAGCTGTTTGTTTTGCAGTTTTAATGTACGCTGTATCCACAGACTATCGAAATAAAAGATTATATTATGTTGATATGTTATTTACACGTACCTCAGTAAAACCAGAATTGTCCACTATTTATTTTAAAACTAGTACTACGTATTTCATTACCACAGTACATTTGTCCAAAGGAAAATGGAAAAACATTTTGTGAACACATAAAAGCGTATCACAGCTTTTCTGAAATTCTATAATTGTGACAAAATAAATCCCACTCATGTCTATTGTTAACAGATCAGATTGTTGTGAAAAATCAAGTGAACAATAGTGTTGCATAACAGCACTCTTATTAGTGCCCATGAACACCTGAGTAAACCGCGTCAGAAAACATCTTTACATAACATAATTACCACATACATACATCCACCAGTCAGAGCAGGGCTTTAGTCATACTTCCATTATTTAAAGTGGATTTATCATCACACACTGACACATGTCTATTTTGTGAATTTGCTGATTATTTGAATCATTAAAAACACGTTTTTAATGATTGTTTTTTGTTCAACAAATGCAAAGGTTTATGAGGTGAAATAGATTCTGCGCATTATTGCTGTCTGTGAGGGCATTTTGCCACCTTGTCTCTTTTATAAAGGGTTTGATATTAAAAACTATTAAGATTTTTTTTTTTCCTCCAGAACCAACTTTTCAACTTTGGCTCATGCTGTTCATGTGGATACTGCCATTGTGCCTATAGGCAAGACACTTCAGCAAACAAGCCCCCTCCCATCCAAACGTTACATAGTGAAGCTCTACTTTGGGCTGTGCTAATCTTTTAATATTCTACATATACTTATTTTATTACATATATATCAGATTTATTTAAAGGAGCATAGCAGGAGCAGAGACTGTATAAAAGAAGTGGACTAAGGTGAAGTCACCCACAGCATTCGGCTCCAGCCAAATGAAGCCTAGGCTAGGATCATGTAGAGCTCATAAAACGAACATTTTAAGACCAAAATGAGGAACCTGACAGCAGCAGTTACAGAGAGAGGGGTGATGTCGATGGAGCCGGAAGTGCCCCCATTGTCACTTCCTTTTCAGAATGATGTGACTAACAGCTTGTCTACACATAAATCTGATCTTGC